CCGTTGTTACTGTGGAGGAAGGTGAGAATATTACTTTTAATGATTCAAATTTAAAAATAACGCTTTGTTGTTAGGCCACAGTAAAGCAACGTGATGTTTATTAGCAATCTAACTATAGACAGCCCTACGACATTTACTTAGAAATAACAAATCAACTGTACATGTGATTTGAATTTCATGTCATGTAATAGTAGTCGGATGATACTGACACACAAACATCTGTTACTTTGATGTGTTTAAAAAGGTATATTTGTGTTTGGTCCTTAAGTTACGGCGATTGTTTTAAGCCCAGTAACGTTTTGAGTCAAATCCAGATTTGAACTGTATACTGTGTTTTGCCTCGCACATTTGTCGGTGGTTTTCACGAACCTCTGGAAGTCTGACAATAAGGGGCATGAGTTTCTGTAATATGTTTACTATTTGGTTGAATTACATGAAAATACCTCCGACTAAAACTACATATTTTACGTGCGCTTTGCTCAGTTATTAAGCTCATTATTTAACTTTGTTTCGTTCGCAGGACTTGATCAAGACAAAAGCTGATCACGAGATAACTTGCTGTTTTTCATATGATAGTAAAAAAATGAATGTTTAGACGCTTATCTTGTTATTCATCACGGTATGTTCGGTACTCAGTGAGTTGGTTTTGCTTGTTGTTTAACGCCTCACTCAGCAATATTCCAGCTTATATTGTGGCGTCCTGTAAATATTCCAGTCCTGACTAGACAATCCAGTGATCACATCGATCTGCGCAATTGGAATACGATGTCATGTGTCAACCAAGTCAGCGAGCTTGACCACCCGATCCTGTTAGTCACCTCTTACGACAAGCAAGGGTAACTGAAAACCAATTCTAACCAGAATCTTCACGGGTTCGATCCTCTGTTTTTTGGGAAGAGAAGATGACGATATCCGTTCGCATTGTATCCGGAAAAACATGAGTTTTCACTTGGTACAAGAGTGTTTGGGGCAAAGGTGACGACGTAGTCTGTGGCGTCAGAATTCTCTGTGCAGAATATGCTGTTGCATCCTGCATCGCTGATTGACCCTTTTGTCGACACCAATGATCCTAGTTAGAAAAGATTACAACTGTTTGTGGTCTGCTTTCCTTCAAATTGGAACACTCTCTATAGTTTGGCATGAAATGCATGTGGACCCGTTTTTTTGTAAATATCTCTTCATCTAATGACCCAATCGATCTCAAACTGAGCAAGTGGATGTTTTGTCAGACAACCTAATCACATTGTAAATCACCGATGTTAAGCATTTGTATTAAAGAATCTGTCTATGTAACTGTCAACAAAATAAACAGCAGAACGCAGACTGCTTGCAGAGGGAGGGAGCCAATGACCTGTAACAGCGGCAGTGTTGGGTCATAAAGGTAAATGCACGTGCAGTTCATGATAGTTACCTGTGCACTGCACAGTGATAGACCGTTTGGATCATTCACATTGACTACTAACTGTCATCATGAAAGCTTATTCAGATGATGCTAAACGTTTAATTAGAAATGTGTTGAATTTTTTTTTTTAAAAAGCAAACGTAGCAAACCGATTTATAAGGTGTCGGATTACATGAAACGTACATACCTGACCTACATTGACGAACATTGACCTTTATGACACAACTACATTGCGATAGACACACAGGTGCAAATATAAAATCAACGCTTCCCATACACAAAGAATCACCCGTAAAATGTACATTTTGCACTTACTGTCCCTGCAATAGGTTATGCTGTTATCGTTATTTGAAATACTCAGTATATAGTTCCAGTCCAGTCAGTTTATTGCATGAAGGTCATAGGCTCATATGCAAAATAAATAAATATGCATAATATGTACAACATATACAACATACGTTACAGTGAATAACAAATAGAGCTACCGTACAAGGATGCTTTACAAGAAGTGTTGAATTCAGTTTTGTAGCATAAATATTTGATTGTAGCCATTGTGGAAAATACATTTGCCTTAAATCATTATATACAGGACAAAGATTCATTCTCCACAGTATTACAAAATGGTAGAACCTTTGTAATTTTACAATTATACAACGGAATGTATTCTACATGTGTTGCACACAAGTCACAAGTATATCTGCGTAGGTTGTCCGTTTGCTATTGTCCGCACCCAGGAATATTCCCGTTACAGGACAATGGTCTCTAATCGAATCTGGACCGGACAATCCAGTGATTCCAGTGTATGTGCGTACACAGTATCACCTCTGCAATGTTGTGTACATGTTAGCGTAAACAGTGCATAATAAACGTAGTCTCACGACAACAAAACATCAAGGGTATTCATGAAAAAGTTGGGAATGGCAATTGTCATAATTTTGGTTACTGAGTCGTCAGACCCCGAAACTTTTCTCCACATGTCTCAACTAAAATATTTTGACGGTCTTGTGTGTTGTGGATGCTGTAACTCCACAGGCACGGGTGTTAAAAGTGCCCAGTGACCAACGCTTGTCATAAAAGGCGACTGAATGGTTTAGTTGGTCAGGTTCGCTGACTTGGCTGTTGCATGTCATCGTATCTGAGACATCGACAGATCTTAAGATGTCCAATATATTATTTTATGGACTTCTGCTTCTTTATGCTTTAACTTTATGCTTTATGCTTTAACACACACCGTTTCGGGACCATTACACATCCATTTATCAGGTGAACTCCTAAAGCATAAAGTTAACGCATAAAGAAGCTGAAATCTTGGACATTTATATATAACTTCTAAATGCCGCTAAAAGACAAGATCCTAAAATGTCAATCACTGGATTGTCTGACTCAGTTACTATTTGATATTAATCGACTTATATTACTGAGTACGGTGTTTTATAAAACAACAAAACAAATGTAACCAGGAAACATTCGATTTGAGCAAGAGTTTTATGACTGAAGATTTTTTAGAAAGATCATGCTAGAAGTATATCAACAGTTATATATAATTGTTACACTTAACGCCGGAGCTGCTAGAATATTGCTCGACATAAAGGGAAACTTTACTTTTAGAAAGTTAAAACTCATCTCTCTTATCTTAGAGTCTTGTGGACAAGCATTTCCATTACTGCGATTCCTTAGCATAAGAATACGAGCAAGGCCGTGTTTAGGAACATAGCAAAGCAATAAATGAAACCTTAAATGTTTAAAAAGGAGTTCATACATAAACAAGTATTTCGGAAATGTTAAATTAAAAAAAAATTTAAAAAATAACTTACAAATAGTCTTAGTACCGTCCGCAGATACAGTATTATCTCCAAACAAGACATGCTGGATGCATGTACGAGGGGAGAATACTCGTTAATTCAGTCAACAAACCCGTTGTGCTATGACTCACACAAAGTTAATGATACACATAGTTAACTGATTTGGACCTCTGATAAACCAACTAAGTTATATGGATTATTACATACAAACGTAATTACCTCTGCTGTGTTTGGCTTCGATATTAAAGCTTAGTAAAGAAATTAATTGCTGGTAGCACGGCTCCCTACAACACACCGTTATGAGTGAATCAGTTGGAGTTAACGCCGCTCGGAATAGTATTTTTATTCCTGGAATAGTATTTTTTTCCCTGGAATAGTATTTATGTAACGTGAAGGGCTGCTTCTGTTGGTGTTTCTAATTGACGATGTGTAATAAATTACCTGGTACTACCGAGGATATTAATTAAAGTTCATGCTAAAGATCAGCACTGTGTTGTGGAGTAGTTAAAGATCCCGTGTAGTAGCCCAGTGGTTAAAGCGTTCGCTCGTCACTCCGAGGGCCTGGGTTCGATTTCTCATATGGGAACGCCGTTTGAAACCCGTTTCTGGTGTCGTTGATATTGTGTGGATATTACTGAAAGCGGAGTAAACCCAACTCACTAATGACTAGCAGCTCCTCACAGTGAATTGTACCACGTGATGGATCACTGAAACGTGTGTGTCCCGACACTAGCTTGGTTTCACCTTACAACTGTTACACCAACAATCATTGAAACGAATGTTAGTCAATGGCACATGTTGGGCGAGACAGGTAGAATGTGATTTACTTCGGACAGTCACGGAAGCGTTCTCTAGGCATACAACACCCCCTGAATTTGGAATAAAATTATTGTTTTTCACGAAAATGGTGAATGAATGAGTTTGGGTTTCACCGCTTTGGCAATGATTTTGAAGAACTATGTCGGAGACACAAGAAGCTGCACAATATACCTTATAGGGAATCAAACGTGGCGTGGCGAGCCAACTGTTTAACCATTAAGCTGTCGGTAAAAGAAATCGCCCTGATATATTATGTTTCTAGGTTTATCAACAACAAACCCATGGTCTCGGGGCTCATCGAATATTCGAACTTTGAAAATTTACGCCAATGCGGGTTTTTTCTACCACGTGGCACTAAGACCAATACATGTAAATACTGTTCAAACCAAAACCTGCACTTCACTCACTCATAACATTCCGCACGTTTTTGATAGGATTGCAAAATCATTACTTATCAATCTCCAATCGGACTGATATATATGGAAGGATGAAATGGAACCCTGTTTATGTCCCGTGACAATGCCTTGATATTGTGAAATGGAAACACATAGATTGTTTTATTCAATGATCATGGGATAAAGGTAAACCATGTGATCTGTTGCTGGTATTCAGCCCCCCTCCCAACAGGGTAATAAACCCTATGACCCATCGCAGCAACCTACACCGCGATCATCTCCCGTGGTGCCTCTCTCTGAAACATGGAGCCCCTCGCGGTTCTAATTCCACGCCAGCTTCTATTAGCACCGGGAGGCTAATTAATTGTGTTATTTAAATATAGAGCAGAGTCGAGTACTTAGCACGTGGGATACATGTACCGCTTGCATTATGGGAGATCACTGTTGTTGACTTAGGCGCGGCTGTTAGGATCGATAATATTTCAGTTGCTTCCCATTTGTTTACGAGTTTAGTTCAGTTTTCTGACTATAGGCGGCGATTCTAGCCTGGGGAACCAATCAGCTGTTGAATAATCGATTGGCGCTAATTGTATTCAATATGGAGGTCGGTAGTGACTATTTGTCATATGTCAGATCAGCACTGCTAGTGTTTCTTTGGTATTAGTTCCTATCTGAACATGCTCTGTCCGCAAATTGATTGATAGCAAGAAATTCGAAGCATTCCTCAAAAGAGGTACAACGTAATGTCGCGGTAATTTATCCAGGGCTTGTGTTGGAAACACGACCGTGGATGTTGGAACTGAGCTGGGTTGGAGCAGCGCGAGAGAGGGGAGATACGTCTCAAGGCTCATGGCCAGGTTATTTTACTAAGATGTCGGTACCGGGGTTGAAGATGCGCTCGGACTGAAGTGGGTCAAGCCAGCTAGGTAGTCTTTGTGTTTCAAGTGTGGACATTGTGCTGGGCCATTCCCCCAGGGCGCAGGGACCGCTGTCAAGAATATGTGATGCTATAAGAACTCAGCTGCAAGATTCCTTGCCAGGCGTCAAAAATCTTTGCGCCCAAAAGTGTCTAGATTTTTATTACGCACCATGCCGAACAGTTTGAAGGAATTAGAGGTGGAATGGCGTTGCTAAATATCTAATTAACTCTATTTGATGTTCAAAGCGAATCTGTCGAGCGAAAGCAGGCACGGTTTCAGCGATAGGGACACGAGAACGGTTGGTTCCATGCTACCAGTGCACGGGATGTAATGTTCGTAAAGCAAGCATTGATTTTCTAGGATTTTCGCCCGCCTCAAAGTCTTTAAACAGCGGGCATATCTACATGGACAGTGTGTGTTTCTGAGGAATCAAATTTTAACGGATGGAATGGGGTATGGGTGAAAATACATGCCGGTAGAACGCATGGCTAAATCCATGCATGAGATTGTATATTGATTGGGACTGTGAATTGGTCGATTGGCACATGTCTTGGTGGATGACCAAGAGGAGGGCTCGCTCGCCTTGTTGTCGCTGGTACTCTGTTTGGGGAGGGTTACGCCTTCAGACACAGATTTCAAAGGCTGTTAAAGAAATTAACTCGTGATTGTAATGATGGCTCACCGAAACAGCACGAAGCGGTCGGAATCCCTGCCGAACACTTTACCAGGTGCAATGTTTGGAAACGGACAACACAGCGCCGAGGATAACCCAAACTACTTGGTGTATAAGAAGGTTCGTAATCTCATAGACAGTTATAGTCCGTTTCCTATAATCACCGCTTCCTTGTTTCAGTATCACTTGTAGAAAGAACGTTTTTTGGCACCTGTTGCAGGAATCAAAGAAATTAATTTGGAGTTCCACTTATTTCTCCTTTAGGATGTTCGTGTTTTACCATTATTTGTTGGGTACCCATGTTTATTCCTTGTTTCAAAGAATGGAATCATTTGTTTTATTTCCAGAGAATAAGGTGTGTGTTAGAAATGCTTATGTTTTCATATATTTTGCTTATTCAGCAGTTTGTGACAGGACCTTCTGTTATTTTAAACATTTTTTGTGCTGACATTCCACATATACTGCTCATAGTTAAATATTTTAGTTTTAAAATGTCTTACATTTGAAATGCATGTTTTCATAAATTCACTTTGACTACTTTCCATGAATGACTCAACAACATTAATTGACTTTTTTATCATGTGTTTAGAAATGCATGTACTCTAGGGTTTTGGGGTTTGTTTGTTTCCACGATAAGAAGAACCTGGCAAATGTAAGGGACACAACTCTACAGCAAATGGAAGTGTGTTAAATATCATATCGATCCAGATATCAATAGGAGCTTTTAGCCATAACCTGTCAATTCAATCATTAAAAAGGTGAAATCACAAATTACAAACCTACTGAGACCTTAAGAAAATAAAATGCTGCCATTTGTTAACGTTTTACTGTATGCTGGAAAAGATCTCCCAAACAAGACAATCTTTCACACATCTTGCAATGTAAATGGATTTATCACTTGACCATGTTGACCACTGTGGTAATATCATAATATCCCCATTTGACTGTGGTTTAAATCTTGGTAAGTGATCCAAGGAACACAAGACACCGACAGCTGCCATATTTCTCTTAAGGAACCTCTTGAGTTCTGTAATGAGATGAGGATGGTTGAAGCATAAGAGAGTGATTTTATTACCCCATGCTCATGTTTACATGGTTTATATGTCTGGCCTTTGCCCACATTGAAAGGGAAGGTGGCAGAGTAGACAAGGTGGCAGGTTTTAACCAAGTGGAATATGACAGCACTTCACATGCTTCTGTCGACATGGCTGAAATAATACTGATGTCACTATAAGTCTTAACTCACTCGCTCATATACCTGTGTCAATAATTGTGTTGGGTGACCCCTATTGAATACCCTAGAATGCACTAGTGTATGTCAATCAAGTATCAGGTTTAATTCCCCTTCAGTCATACATGGCTTACCTGTGCCTCTAATACTGCAGTTTTCAGAGATCAGACCTTTTTCTGTTGTTTTGATATAATGAATTATGATCTTTTGTATGTGACATTAAGTATTGAGAAAAGAAATTATACATATGATATATTGTCTGATTTATATTGGAAATCTGCGGAGCAAATGAGATGAAGAGAAGGGCTAATCACAAATTTCAGTGATTTACAGTTTGTTCACACAGTTTATGAGAATTTAAGAGACATCATCATTATGTAACACATGTGGTATTCCTGACAACTTTTCAATTATGTTCTTTACCTCATACTGTGGACAATTGCTCCATTGTGGGTGTGGCCTGATACTATCATGTTGACAACTGATCCAATATTGGTCTGGCCCTATTCCATATTCTTCACAACTGCTCCAGTGGTTGTCTAGTTATATACTATTTTCGTGATAACTGATTCAGTATTATGCTACACAATACTACTATGTGTAATACTTTATTCTTCACAAATGCTCAAGTTTTGCACTGGTCTAGTACTATAATTATTACAACTTATACATTGTAAGCCTGACAATGTTATGACAACTGACAAGTATGGGCCTGGTTGTGTGCTGTATTCATGACAACTGTTTCAAAATTGGCCTGCTCTAATACTACATTCTAGAATACTCGCCAACTTCTGGACACTAGACATAATCTTCAGTGTAATGTTGTAGGTTTGTTGTCATTTTGAACTGCGAGACAGTGCTCTCTGGAAAGTTGTTGGGATCAAGCACTTTTTGTAATTTCTGCTGAACATTTGTGATGCACAACAGTTTTGAGGATGTAAAAACTTGTGGGGAGTTTTCAATTAAAATATATCATAGACCACTCTTGATCTGATGTAACTAAAGTGTTCTTAGGACTACACCTGTGGTAAGCCTGTGTTGAAGTATGGGAGTATGGGAAAGAACTGTGACTTTCTTTTCTTATTAATAAGGATTTTCATGAGACAATTCTTAAAACAAGACCATCTCTCTCAGTGGAGACCCAGATTAGACATTTGTAATATTGCAGGCATCCGGATCTGAAATCATTATTTTTAGGATTTTTGCAATGTTTCTATATTTTAAAAAAATGATTTTTGCATTAGGCAACCTAAAGAAAACTAATATTTCTCTCTGTCTTTACTGTCAGTTTAGGCCAAACAAAAACAATGTTGTGGTTCCGATAACACCTCTTTAAAATTTAGGGTAGGTAGGTAGGAATTTTTTGTTTTTTTACATTCTTTTTAGAACTAGAATTAAAGTACAAACTAATAACATATTTATCAATGTGCAATTGTTTATTCAATCAAGCTTGCGGCCATCATGTCGACTTTCTTTATCAGAATGACCAATGTCCGTCGGTGCCATGAAAAAACAATGTTATCTGAAAGCTTATTTTATTCATACCACTAAACAACTAGAGTCAGCACCAGAATTCAAGGGTCGGGTAATCAGAACCACAACAAAAAAACTTTAGGCCTAAAGGAGTAACATCCTTTAATGAAATAATTTGAAGCTTGTATTTTCCCAAATACGTTTATATAGTATGTTTTCGTGTGTAATTCTGTGAACTGAAATAGAAAGTTTGTTATGCAAAATAAGCAGCCATTAGAAAATGAAACTTGAGAATATGCTACTCAAATATGGCCAAGGATTTTCCAATGGCTGTATTAATCTGTTTCCCTATCAAAAGTTTAGTAATATATTTGTATTCCAGAATGAAAACATTGGAAGCTTTTAGTTGTTGAAAGCCTATCTTTAACCTGTTTTGTATAGATTAGGTGTAATTCTTTCTCTAAATAATAAATGAATATTATGTTTTAAGATATTTCTTGAACAAACAATTTGTATTGAATTTAAAAAGCAATGAATGAATGTACTACATGGATATGGATGTATTCTGAAAGTGTAAGTGGAAAGTAAATAGATCCATTGCAGATAACAAACCATGACATATAATACTGTTGTTGTTTTTGTGGCTTATTAGCGCTGTACAATCAGTATTAAATACTTTTATATTAATAGGGCATATACCACTCAACATGTTCATTGTAACATTGACAAGTATCTTTCAATATTTATAAACTGAAAACATTGCAGTTGTTTTGCATAATGTACAGACATACATAGGCATAAACTAATTACATTGTACTCAAAAAGTATTGTGATTTTTTTATGGACTTAAATACTTGTGGTTTAGAATTTTATGTTAAATTTTAATTAAGAGTAAATTTAAAGTCTGTTTAATTTACTTCTATCAAAATAACTTGGCTCAAAATCAACACATGTATAAAGAATACATAAAACCAGAATTTGTATGCCTTAGGAATATATAATGTGAGTCTTGTGATACTTGTGTTGGTGTTGTAATTATTGTCTGTTATTAATGCTAAAATCAAATGAAAATTGTGACAAGAAAGGATGAAGACACTTAAAACAGTTTTGGCACAGACTGGATTTGATGTCCGTCCATAGTATGATATTTATAAAGATTTGATTGACATCTATATTCATGCAATTCTCTGAAAATATAACTTTTGTCCTTGTATCCTCCCTGGAATACTAAGAATATATTCCGATATAAAAGTGTTACAGATAACTGATATAAGTTAATTTTGAGAAACATAATAAGAATCACACTATTTTTGTTCAGGCCCAGAAAGACATAATCCACAAAATATCTTTAACAAAGTCAGTCCCTGCAGGAACCACCGATGCCTGTGTTGCCAGTGTTTGGTGCTATCATAATAACTCTATTGACCTTTCCAGTAGAATGTTTTTTTAAAGGATTTTCTCAATGAAATGTAATTTAAGTTTTAATAAATTAGCCATGTACTCAACATCGATGCTCATTTTGGGGCTAAGGCTGGAAAAAAACAACTTGTATTCCAGGTAACAGACTGACTGACTGACTGAGTTTGGTTTTACGCCCCTTTAGCAATATTCCAGCAACATCACGGCGGGGGACACCAGAAATGGGCTTCACACATTGTACCCATGTGGGATTCGAACCCAGGTCTATGGCGTGACGAGCCAACGCTTTAACCACTAGGCTACCCCACCGCCCCTCCAGGTAACAGAGGGTCAGTTGGCACATTTTATTAATGATGGCTTCAGAGATCACTTGTTAAGAACTTATGCACATTTTCTTTGCTTCTAGAATTTGTATGTAAAAAAATATGCAGCAAAAATAATAACAGCTTCTTTTCATGATCCAGGGTTTCTGAAAGGCTTTTTCTTGCTAAGATAAAATTGTTTAGGTAAAACCACAGTGTCAGGCAGTTCACCTGGAGCACAAGTGTATGTATATTTGACATACGCAAGGAAGAAGGAGGTATGTCTGTTGGGTTGCTGGTCGTGTTATCAAGTCACATAGGGAGATGCTGGAGAGTAATTATAACAGCAGAGCTGATGTTTTCTGCTGCCAAACTTACATGAAGGTTTAGATAAGAAGAAAGACCTGCTTAGATTAGATCAGTCTTGCAGTAATAGCTGTACTGGCTCACCCAGGTGTTCATGGACATGCCGGGTTGGAACTGGCCTCCAGCTCCAAGAACTCATCATAGACATCTCACAGTGGATTGAGTCGCTGGTTGACTGGTTGATTGTGTGTCATTCTACCCTGACAACTAGGATCATTGTTCACTGTGTCAATCACTGGATTGTCTGGTCCTGATCTGTTGCTGATAGGTCACTTTCTTGTGTTGTAAATCATGACATTAGTGGGTTTCCAAATTAATGCAAGTCACAA